TTTTGGATGCAATGATAAACCAAGACCCCATCTGCCTGTTCAGATTGATGTAAAAGATCCCATGCTACTATTTCCAAGAAGAGCGCGTGAATTGTTCATGGTGCCAATTCTCTGGTCAATATCTATTTCCCAAATAACATTTTAAAAAGAACCAGATTATCTGATCATTGTCATAATTAAAGAAAAATTGCAGACTGCAGATGTTAGTCTGTGATTTTGATACAATCAGAGCAGAACCACCTCTGAAGTTTGTTCCCTGATTATCAGTATTTTGCATAGAAAATTTCCACAAGCAAGTTTAAAAATATACCAGATTCCAGGTGAATTACAAAGCATTAACAAATGATTGAACTCATTTGTGGTCTGGGGCTGTGATAGTATTACTGAAGATATTACTGCAGATGTTGAAAAGCCATGTTGATGTTGCTAGCAAGCAGAAATGCACCACTTTTCTCTGTAAGGATAATTAGTCTAGACATTATAAGGAGAAGGGGGATAGGCTGGGACTTTTTTTCCTGGAGTGTAGGAGGCTGAGGAGTGACTTTAAAGAGGTTTATAAAATCATGAAGTGCGTAGATATGGTGAATAGCCAAGGTCTTTTCCTCAGGGTAGGAGAGTCCAAAACTAGATGGCATAAGTTTAAGGTGAGGGGGAAAGATTTAAAAGGGACCTAAGGGTCAACTTTTTTCACACCAAGGGTGAAGCTTATACAGAATAAGCTGCCAGAGGAAGTGGTAGATGCAGGTACAATTGCAACATTTAAAAGACATTTGGACAGGTGCTTTGAACAGGGAAGGTTTAGGGGGATATGGGCCAAATGCAAGCAAATGGGACTAGTTCAATTTAGAAAGACTGGTTGGCATGGACAAATTGGGCCAAAGGGCCTGTTTCCATGCTGTATGACTCTTAAATACAACTTGATAATTTTAGCCTCTTCCCACAAACCAGTTATCATTTCTTTATTTTGGTTTTAATTTGAAGCAAACTATTTTACAGTTCCCATCAAACAAACATCAAGCTGCAGTGCTCTATTGTCTTGATAATATGTACAGCTGTTGATCTGCATTATTTTGTGACAGGGTGGCAGTGACGGCCCACAGTCTCTGCGTAGTTGCTGTTTGCAGTGCCGATGGCATATGGATGGATAAGCAAACTGAAAGTTGACAGTGTATCTCTCTGTTTTGTACTTGTCAAGTTGGGGTTGTTGGCTCTGCATCTTCCAGCTCAGATGCAACAAGGTTTAGGTGGTGTCTCTGCCTGCAATGAAATATCTCAGCCGTAACCTCAGAAAAACTCCCACTGTGGCATTTTCCTTTAAATTAGACAGGTTTCTTGACAAATATTGTCCTATTCTGATCAAAAAGAGGGAAGCTTCCTCTCAGCACTCTGAGCTGAGGTTAAATTCAAGTCTCTGAGATACATTGTCTTGTCTAACCTCTGTAGATTCCTGTAGGAGGTAATGTTTTGAATATTAAGGTGCTAAATGGAGCCATTACTCTTAGCATATGCAATAGCAGTTGACATTTATATGGCATCTTTTAAGGTATTAAAATGTCCCAAGATTCTTCACAGGAATAATTATTGAATAAAAGTTGGCACCAAGCCACATAAGGAAGGCATTAGGACAGTTGACCAAAAGTATGTTCAAACGAATGCCTTTTAAGGAATGTCTTGAAGGATGTGAGAAAGTCAGAGCTCTAAGGTTTTTGAGTAGGTTTGTAGAATGAAACCAGAAGGGAACTAACACCCCCTGATTCTATGGCCTCCTGAAGGTACACAAACCGGAAGTACCCTTCAAACCCATAGTCTCCCTGCCAGGCACACCATCAGATAGATTAGCCAAGGAGTTACAACGGAGACTAAAGCACCTCATCAGCAAGTCACCCTACTCAATCCACTCAGCTCAAGAGTTCCTCATTTCCATCAAGGACATAAGAATAGACGACAACAAGACCATGGTATCATTTGATGTCACTGCCCTATTTACGTCGATAGACATACCACTAGCAAGAGAAACACTGGCAACACTACTGAAACACGAACAAGACCTGAGTGACACCATCTCCACAGACAACATGCTGAAGTTACTGGACTTATGCCTCACGACCCACTTTACCTTTAATGGCTAAATATATGAACAGATCAACGGGACACCCATGGGATCACCTATCTCTGGACTAATAGGTGAAGTGATGATGCAGAGACTTAAAAACATGGCCCTTCCACGAATCCAGCCGAAACTATGGATACGATAAGTGGACAACATCTTCGTCATTATTAAATGGACCAAACTAGAGGAGACATACCAACTAATAAACAACACTGTCACCGGGATCAAATTCACCAAGGAAGAGGAAAAGAACAAACAGCTCCCATTCCTGGACGTCATAGTGGAACGCAGGACCAATGGGGAATTCCTAACAAAGGTACACAGGAAAGCCACACACTCTGACCATGTACTGAATTTCAACAGCAACTACCCTAATACCCACAAATGAAGTTGTGTGAAAACACTATTTAAATGGGCAACGACACACTAGGCAACACAGAACTACACCAAAAAGAAGAAGAGTACCTCCTCCAAGTGTTCAAGGACAACAGATACCCAAACAATTGGGTCAGAAAATGCCTATTACACGAACAACACCAGGAAGGTACTGCACGCCCTGACACACTCATCACGCTACCTTACATCAAGAACACATCTGAACTGACCACAAGGCATCAGAGTAGCACATAAACCTACATCAACCCTACGCCAACTGCTAACCCATAACAAAGACCCATTACCTTCTATAGACCGACCAACGTCATATATAAGATCCCCTGCAAAGACTGTGACAAACGTTACATTGGACAGACAGGAAGAAAATTGGCCACAGGAGTACACGAACACCAACTAGCAACAAAAAGACACGACCAATACTCACTCATCTCCTTCCACGTGCATAAGGAAAACCACCAGTTTGATTGGGACAACACCAGGATCCTGGGACAGGCCAAGCCGGGACAAGCATGGGAATTCCTAGAGGCTGGTTCTCCACTAAGAAGGCCATCAACAAACACATAGAGCTAGACCCTCAATATACTCCACTGTGAAGGAAAACCAGAAGTGAGGTAACCCAGCTCAACGGACACCAGAGTTTAAATACCAGGTGGGAAAACACAACAGTACTTAATCGGAGGCTGCACTGATGACGTTACCCAGCAGGGTAATGAAACATCTGTGGAACAACGAACCAGCTCGGTGAGCCAACCACCCACAAAAGTCAGAGCAGTTTAGGTCCAGAGCCCAGGGTTCAGTCAAGTGGACTTCAATGGTGGGTTAATTGACATTGGGGTTCTATGAATCACCTCCTGTTTGCCATTCAGTGACATATCGATAAGTCATGTCTGTGGTTTTAATGTGAAATCAGGTGAGGCTGTAATTGGCTTTCTGGTTGATTAACTGGCCACCCATGTGTTGTGCTTGCTTGAGTCAGTCCAATCAGTATAGGTGAGCAAGTTGCTAAAAATATTTGTCAGGCAGATACTTGCAATATTCATTTTTGTCAGCCTTTTCTTAACACTTTACTGTCGTAAATATGTTGGCTCTGAATAGATGATGGTTTTGTGGATTTGGCCAACCTCCACTGTTTTATCTGAAAGCCTGTTGATTATCATAGATCAAAGAACAATGGGTGGTCTTATATTCTTTGGCCCCAAAGTGCATGTTAAGCCTATACTCAATGTATAAATTGTCACCCTATTTTTCATCTAATAAATGCATGTGTAGCATCACACTCGCATTAGAAGTTGGCCTCAATTTTTAAGCCCAGACATAAATAAATGTTTAGGATTTTATGCAGCTTCCAAATCAGCACAGGGGATCAAACATAAGGGTTATGTTGCCAAAATGATGTTTGGTAATTTAGGACTCACCCACACGGAGCAGGGCAGTCACAGGTGACCAATAAACAAAAGAGATTCTCTGGCAAAGATAATTTATACAAAGCTGGTTTAAGGCTACAAGTCATAACATTTGCAAATAACTGCTGCAAAGAGGAAATTCTGTGTTACTGAAAAACTGGTGTGAGAATGGAAGAGGGAATCTGCCATGAGGAAGGTGCCCTGGATAAATGTGCCATAGAAGCAGGAACCAGCCACTAGTTTGGTGTTCAGAAGCATGTATTGAAATAGTTCTTTGGAAGTAATCAGAATGGTTATAGTGTCACCAGAAACACAGTGTGCATGAACACACTGAAGTGAGCCAACTCAAACCGTGAGTCCAGCAAAATTTTCTGCAGTTGCTTTATAGAAGAAAAATATCTTGTGCTGCAGCAGCAGACCAAAATTTCTCTGAGATAACTAAATATTTCCAGCAATTCATTATCAGACAGTGGCAAAAGTTTACATCAACGTTATTTCACATTTTCAACATGTACAAAATCTTATCAAGTTCGATATGCTAAGCAGCTGAACATTCAAGTAGTAGAAAATCCAATTCAGTGGTTAGAGAGGAAGTTGATTAGTTGTGGAGGAATGACTCTGAAACTCAAAGCACCAGATTTTGTTTAGAGTGGGATCCTTTCAGTGATGCCATAGCCAAAGTGACTCAAGATTAATTCGATGAGCTCTATGTCAGAGCAGAAAATGATAATTTTTTAAAAATCATTAAGTTGTACTTCAAATTATCCTGGCGTTATTTCATTAAATAGAATGTGACACGTTGATCTAATTTGAATTGGACTAATATTATGACATCTTTCATGCTTTAAGATGGTGATCACCAATACAAATATCAGCAGTTCATATATTATACTCGATATATAAGTCAATTTCTGTTTTTGGAGTTTATACACAGTGATCTAAGGGGTATTAACATGACTCTGAGACTTCCTGACCAGCCCTCGTTGAAACATTTGATTTATATTTATATATGTAGAATGGGATGTGTAAGATAGACTAAAAATCACTTGTGCAATCTTCATTCACTGCTGTTAACCCTTTTTTCTCCACAGAACCGCCTCCTAATGTGAAAACCCCTCAAAACGTCACGGCATTCCCTGGGGATCAGGTGGTCCTGACATGCAACGTTCTTGGAAGCATCCGATATAACATTACCTGGATGCGAGATGGAACTGAGCTTCAGGATGACAATGAGAACATTACTCCTTTGAGAAACTCATCATTAGCATTTTGGAATGTGCAGTCAGAGAATGCTGGACGCTACGAATGTGTGGCAGTCAATATGCAGGGATCAAGTCGTGCTTCTGTGTGGTTGTTTATCTCCGGTGAGAGTGAATTTTGATAATGTCTATATTTGGTTGTGTAAAATGAATCTGATTCATTTTCACTACTTTCCTGAAGGCTACTAAACAAATTGGGCGATTGTGGACATTTGGTATTGTAACATCAACTAAAAGATTTGAGAATTCTTACTTGATCTCTTTGGGAAAAGAGATTTTGAGGAAATCTGATTTACAGTTTGGGTAGAATAATTCAAGTAAATTGCATAATGTAATAGCTTAAAAATAAGGAATGATGAAATAGGAAGAACACTGGGTAGAACATTTGCTTTAATTAAAAAGGAATAATTTGGTGTAATAAATCACCAGAGAAAGCTATGGATAGAGATTTCAGAATGTGAAAGATTTCTTGACAGGTTGTTGGATGAGCTTGAAACATTAATTGGATGTACACACTCTTTCTTCCCTTTTGTTTTGCTTTTAAGAGCAAGTATTTTCTTTCGCTTTTTGTGTTGTGACAGAATTTACTGAAAAGTTAACATCTTTAATGTTAAACAGCCATTCATGTCACCCTTATTTTGAATATCCTTGGAGGTGAAAGGAGGCACTATACCTTTCCCTGGAACTTACTGCAACATTTCATATTAGACTTGCTGTATTGAGATGCTAAAAAGGTGAAACAAATGGGAAACAAAAGCCAAATCTTCTGATGCTGCTTGGCCTGCTGTGTTCATCCAGCTCTACACCTTGTTATCTCAGATTCTCCAGCATCGGCAGTCCCCACTATCTCTAAATCTTAGAGATGTTGTAAAGCTGAAATACAAACATTAAACGTTAGAACATTTTCTAATGACAGGTCACAGACCTGAAATGCTGACTCTTTTCCTTTCTCCACAGATGCTGCCTGACCTGCTGAGTATTTTTCAGCATCTTCTACTTTTATTTTACATAATAAAAGGACATAGTAATTTTGATGTATTTTGAATTCATGTATTTATTTGCAGATCCCCCACATGTTACTGTCAGTCCCAGCTCGCAGAACTTTCTGAGGGCAATGGAGGTCCAGATACACTGCACTGTCACTGGTTACCCTGATCCTGAAGTTGTCTGGATTCACAAGGATACACTTGTGATGAATAATGATAGGCAAGTGAATTGGAATTTAACCATAATTCATTAAACTGCTTTCCTGTTGTAAGTGAGTGAGTGGGTGGGGATTATTTTGTGGTTGTGTGCCTCACACAGGAGTATACTAAGAGATTAAGCTCAACAATTGCTACTAAACAACTTCCCCAATGTGTCTGGCAGCATCTGTGAAGGAAAAAAAAAAAAGAGAGTTAATGTTTTGGGTCTGATGACCCTTCCTCAGAACAGACGAAGTTCTGAGGAAGGGTCATCGGACCCGAAACGTTAACTCTTCTTTCCTTCACAGATGCTGCCAGACCTGCTGAGCTTTTCCAGCAACTTTGTTTTTGTTCCTGATTCACAGCATCTGTAGTTCTTTCAGTTTTAAATTCCCCAATGTGCTGGATCTGAATGGGAGGCCCAGGGTTCATAGCTTGGACTCTGATGGTGCGACAAAAGCAGAAGTGCAATAATTGATATGACCAGGAAGAGTCATCTTGTACTCTCTGCTAAAGTAACTCAATTAGATGCCCACCCTTACATTTCTCTATAAGCATGCAGTTTTTTCTCCCCCACTCAATTATTCACTTTCCCTTTGAAAGACATAGCTTCTGCCTGATGGAAGTGGTTGTAGGAGAACATTTCTGGGGTGGGATGCATCTTTGATGATATTGGCAGCCTTTCTGCAGCAATGAGATGTGTAGATGGAGTCCGTGGATGGAAAGTTGGTTTCCATGATGGTCTGGGCTATGCACACCACCTTCTGCAGTTTCTAACCGTCCTGGGCAGAGCAGTTGCCATATCAGGCCATTATGTACTCAGACAGTATGCTTTCTCTGGTGCATCTGTAAAAGTTGGTGAGGGTCCTTGTGGACATGCCAAGTTTCCTGAGCCACCTGAGGAAGAAGAATCATTTTTGTGCCTTCTTGACCATTGCATCTACGTGGGAGGTCCAGGACAGTTTGTCGGCTATCGCCACTCCTAGGAACTTGACGCTCTCAACCCTGTCAGCCTCCACTCTGTTGATGTGGATGGGGGGTGTGTTCTCCTCCTTTCTTTCTGAAGTTGAAAATCAGTTCTTTAGTTTTGCTGACATTGAGAGAGAGGTTGTTATCATTGCACCGCGTCACCAAGCCATTTATCCCCTTTCTGTATTCTGACTCATCATTGTTTGATATCCGTCCCACCACGGTGGTGTTGTCAACAAACTTATCGATGGCGTTCATTCAGAATTTGGCTACACAGTTGTGGATGGAGTCGGTCATATAGCCCCTCAAGCCAACTCTGCTATTCAATCAGATCACATCTGATCTGCTATCTTAGTTCCACTTTCCTGTGCATCAGCTGAAGCTATTTTCATAGGGGCCAGTCTTGGGCAGCCAAAATGTCTGCCCATTTCTAGTGATAGTCACTTTCAGAATGAAAATTGGAGTCCTATGCTGTACAAGCAATGACCATCTTCAAGAAGAGAGATTCTTCCCACTTCTGTTTGACATTCAGTGACAGTACCGTTGCAGAATACTCAGACATTCAACATCCTCAGTGGTTCATCACTGACCAGAAACTTAACTGGATCAGTCATATAAATAAATGACTAAGTGCACGTCTAAGGTTGGAAATTCTTTTGGGGTCTACCTACCACCTGCAATGCACAAGTTGCAGGTATGATGGGATAATCTCTGCATCCTTGTTACATGCAGTTCAAATGACACTCAAATATCTTGACAACATTCAGGACAGACCAGCTTGCTTGACTGGCAACCTCTCTATCCACCACATTAAAGATTTACTCCCTATATAATGCTGGCAGCACTGTATTCCGTTTAAGATGCATTGCAAAATTTGTTCAAGCCTTCCAAACCCACAACTTCTACCAACTAGACGAACAGGGCAGCAGATGCACGGAAATACCACCAACTTCAAGTTTGTCTTTTAAGTCAGCACCATCCTGACTTGATACAATCTTGCCATGTCTTCACTGTTGCTGGATCAAAATTTTGGAACTCCCTGCTTGCACCCGCAGAAGATTGACTGCAGCAGTCAAGAAAACTTGTCACCACCACTTGTCAAGGGCAATAGGAACTTCAGTGACAGCATTTCTTGTGAACAAATTAAAAAGAAAGGATCCTGGTTGTAATTGTGGTCAGAACTTATCACATTGTGCTTTTTTCCACTGGTGATAGTGCTAGAAAGGTCATGAAAAGACAAACCATAAATTATTTTTGGGGCCCCGGGAGAGCAGGAACGATCTTGTGCCACCCGAGGTATTAACTGGTTCCTTCACTCCACATCTTTCTTGCTGGTGTTTTATGGCCCCCTTAACCTTACTTGTTCTTGCCAACATACCCCTTCCCTACCAGTGTCCCAAGAAACTGATATTCTTGTGGCCTAAAACTGGTCAGCTACCATAAGAAACTCATATAGTGTTCAGTTGAAATAAGACTTGGGCTTCAGTTATGCAACAGCCTGTTTTTGTTAAAGGGGACTGCTTTGCATACTGTGCTGGGATTAGTCACAAACACAATAACAGGATGTTGTACAATGGTTAGGTTAAAGATTATTTCACTTGCCGAGAGCTCATCTTTAAATTGACTTTATTTGGTAGCTTCTGCTAGTCTTTTGTAATCATCACACACTTACTAAGTGTTACTAAATTTAATTGCAGCACCTAGTGATATTTTTGGCAGGTTGGTTCTAAATGTTAGTGATGTGGCTCCTATCCAAAGGCTCCTTTCATCCAAGTCTGCAGTACACGTGACAGATAACATTTAATGTGAGAAGTGATATATTTTGGTTGTAAGAATGAAGAAAAGCAATAAAACTAAATGTAAACTATGTACAGTTTTGGTATTCTTACCATATAAAGTTTTTAAACTTACTTGTCTTAGAAGGGCTTAGTAAAGTTTCACTAAATTGATTTCTAGGATGAGAGCACTGATCTAAGTGTAGAAATTTAGTAGATAGGGTCTATACTCTCTGGAGTTTGGAAGGATCAGTAATCTCATTGTAACACAAAATTCTTAATGACTTAGATATTAAGAGGCTAGTTCCCTTAGCTGGCAAGTGTCAAAATAGGAGGCATGATCTCAGGATAAGACTGAAAGGAGAAAAAAAATGTCTTCACTTAGAAGGTTGAGAATCTTTAGAATTCTCCACCACAGATGTTTGTGTATTGAGCTGTTGAGAATTTTTAAGATGAAGCTCATGAGACAAGGACACTGAGGGAATCAAGTGATATCGAGTTACGGCAGCAAATTTGACTTGGGTTGAAATGTGGAATAGGCCTGACGGGCCGTATGGCCTACTCCTGCTCCTATTTACTGTGTTCCTAAATTAAAAAAGGTGCAGGAACAGAGAAATCTGGAGGTGTTGTGTATTTTTTGCAAATTAACTTCAAAAGGGATTAGCATGAATTGGTCTGAAAATTTAATTAACCTTGCATTAAAATGGGACTATACACTGGCACAAGTGATAAGACTTTGTACAATGCAGGATTAGATGATGAGGTGTAGCGTCACCTATGCACGTAACATAACTATGTGTACGCAGTCTTTGATAATAACGTAGATATTGCTCCGGTGTGTGGAGACACCAGTGGATGTATGAAGTGAAGTCAATGAGCCAGTGAGCTGTTTAAAAAAATTTGTTTCTCTTCAAACCTATTCTATAACTGGACACAGCCAAACCAAAACTAGTAATTAAAATGGGTTACAAAATTCACATCAACACATACAAAAGGCCAACAATAACCAGTTTGAATAAAGAAAGTTGGCCAATAATAATAAATAACTTAGAGCACTGACAGAAAATTTGGCCAGTGGAATAGATACTTACATTGATAAAGTAAAGATGGCCAATTTGTAAAACGATCTTTTAAAAAATACAAATCATAGGAATAACAGGAAATTATTTATGATCCTGAGGAAAAGCTTTACTAATGTGTTGCTCTTAACAAAATTGCACCATTGCCCAGAGTTTCTGGCAAGTATAACTTTTGGGAATAATTACTTCTACTGCATTAATAGCATGGATGTGTTCAGACTCGAGAGAAATTACAACTGGCTGCTACTCTTGGCTATGAATCTGGCTACTGGTATCTTAATATCAGGACAGGCATACCACAGACTTCTCACTTCTATAAGTTGTTTTTCTTTTTAGCAGTTGCCCCTCCTTACTTAGAATGAATGTAATTTAAAAAAATAATTAGGTCAAACTGAAAATTTATCCAACTTTGCTGTGTAGGTACAGAGTTCAAACTGAACATCAGCTAAATTGTTTTATGATAGGCCAGACAATACACTCAAAGTTTGGTGGTTGTATCACTGTGTTTACAGGGTCACTGGCACTTTTCTGGTGGTGGTGGTGAGGTGTCTGCCATCTACCCAGAGGCAGTCTCACTGTGACAGTCCAAGCTTCCACGTTCCATAAGAAGGAGCATGGGCAGAAAAAAAAGCCCCTCATTTCTCCAAAGCTCCACAGAAATAGGATGCATCTAGTGGTGTTTCTGTCCTCTTCAGTTTAAAACAAAACTTACCTCTCCATTCTGAGGTGACTACAAGATATGCTTGCCTAATCAGCAACCATCTCTCCCAGTGGAGCTGCCTAGGTTTCAAATCTGCCAGCCTGCTGATTAAGCTAACAACATCATGAGCTGACCTGCTTTATTTAATTGGTTGTCAGGCCTGTAGGTGGCCAATTAGAAGCTGCCTCTATTCAAATCATGAAGCAGCTCAGCTGCTGACAGACATGGACCTGGGACCTCCATTTCGTCCAACATTTGGGATCCTAAAACACAACCCCTATAAAGATCAACCACTATATTCTGTTTTGTCCATAGTCTGCATTTGCAGTTGTCTGAAATGCAAAATTTAAACTACAATTTTTACTCACCATTAAGGATTCTTCCAAATCACTACTGAATGCAATGAAGGCATTTAGGATCTATAACTGCAATGCGAGTATGTTGTGGACATTTTCCTGCCTGTTCACTGTGCAGTTTGGTGTGGAAGATAGAGGGAAGGCAAAGCTTGGAACACATGATCTACCAGGCATCTCATACGTAGAGGCAAATATTGAAAATTTAATTCGGAAAAATATGCTTGCACTGTATGGGGAGCTTCCCCTAAGTGAGCATTTGATACTTGGAACTGTGGCCTGGTAAATCATCCTCTCTTGAAAGAAAATGGGTCTGAAATTCTACATTTGATAGAAATTTCCCAACTTAGGAACTCAAACATAGTAATTATTTGTCAGGATTATCAGGGTAAAATACCCACTGCATTCCTATTGTATTTCTCTGTCTCTCATTTTGTTCGAAGCACTGATCAGCTCTTAAAGTAACTTTACATGAACACACTATTTATCTGTTAATGACAGCTATTTTCCTGTGTATCTTTGGGCCAAATCCAATGTTTACCCTTTTTTTCGCCTGAGGTAGTAGACACTAGTTCACATCCACTTAAAATGATTGTGACCCCTCTTTGTGTCTGGGTGAATGTGTTAATTTGCATTCTGTTCATTTCTCTCCCTCAGGTTTGTCATCAATGATTTTGGTACTTTAATAATAAAAGATGCTGTCCCAAAGGATGCTGGGAGTTACACCTGCCTTGCATCAAATTCGGTTGGAACAGACAAAGGAGAAGCAAAGTTGAAATACTTGGGTAAGGGGAGCAAATGTGGCACGAACCTGGATGAACGAATCCAAACTACTAATGTCATCAAATCCACCTTCAGACAGCGGAAGAGGGAGATGGTCTGACTGCATGTGCTTACTCAGATTTTGGGCTGCAAAAAAACAGATCAGGAGAAAGCAAGGTGTAGAGCTGGATGAACACAGCAGGCCAAGCAGCATCATAGGAGCAGGAAGGCTCAGGAGAAAGATTGTCTTAGGGATATGTGAAACTTGTAAGATTGTATGAGGGCTTGGCAGGGTGGATACTGAGATGATGTATCCCCTTGTGGGGAAGCCTAGAATTAGGGAGTGTAGATCCAAAATGTAGAGTCTTCTAATTAAGATGGAGATGAAGAAGAAGATTTTCTCTTGGATAATCATTAGTATTTGGAATTTTCCCCCTGATTGAGCAGTGGAAATTGAGTTCAGTAATTGAATATATTTAAAGTTGGGTTAGACTACTTTTTTTTAAAGGAGTCAAAGGTTATGGGGGACAATGTGGAGTTCAGGCCAAAATTAGATCAGACATGATTTCACTGAACGGCAGAGCAAGCTTGAGAGGCTGGATATCCTCATGCTGTTCCTATTTCTTATGATGTTAATATATTTTTCTTTAATTTGTAATGATATTAATCATTGGTAGTGCCTGGAATGTTCATGTGTACTCTGCCTGAAAACAGTTCTTTGACTCATTGTCTGATAATGCTTCATCCTGAGCTGTTTTCTTGGCAGGTATTTTGTTAGTGTGTGTGTTGCCATCACCTTCCATCCTCAGGTGTAGGGTAGGAAGGATGTCCCAAGTCTACCTCAGGCAGAGAGAATCGAACATGTGCTGTTGCCATAATTCTAAACCATCTAACCAACCAGTTCCAGGATATGGGATGCAGAACAATTCTAGACACATCAGAATATAGGGTGCAATTTCTTATTGTTTTCAGTATTTGTGATCCAGAGCCTATTCTAACCAATTTGTGTCTGTACATCTACAGAGATCCCTACAATCACTGTGTCAAAACCAGTGATACTCGCTGTGGTTACAGGTGTTGCATTGCTGGAATGTCGAGCTGCAGGAGTCCCACAGCCTGAGGTCAAATGGTACAAAGGTATTAACAACTCAATCAGTGGAGAAGTTCCTGTAAACTATTCACAACCTGCTGCTGTTACACTGGTAGCTGAGTGAGCAACCTAACATCTGTGTCAGTTAAAATATAAAAATGCAACACTGTGAATTGGCACATAAAGTGAGCAAATCTTCAAAATATTGAAGAATACTAAGGATAGATGAGTTAGCAGAATATTCAAGTTACTCAGGTTTATGGTGATAATACTGCATTACTCAAATTTAGTCAAAGTAAAGTATTGCTTAGGGTCATTCCAGAGAACAGAACTGCTTGGAATCATTTTGTAGCATAACATTATTAAGGATCATTCCAGAGTACAATATTACTTAGAGTTTATCTGAAATTCAGTATTACTCAGGGTCATTCCAGAATACATTATCACTGAAGGGCAATCTGGAATACAGCGTTACTCAGGTCATTTCAGATTACTGTCTTGTTTGGAGGCAGTGTGGATACAGAAGAACCTTTCTGTGCAGTGAGTGATTATGATCTGGAATGCATTTGATAAGAGTGTGATTGAGGTAGATTCAAAGGGAATTATCTAAAGGGTGAAAAAAAATGTTCATGGCTAAAGGAAAATATAGGGGAATTGGATGAACAGATTTCATCTTAGGGAGATAGCGTGGACACAGTTCATCTGACTGCCTCCCCCATGCTATAATGATTGGAGATTTTATTAATCTCCTACTCCCCAAAGTTTTCAAGCTTTGTTGACTTGTTATGCAAGATCTGAAGCCTTTTGATCAAGCATGAAGTAATTAAGGAGTGAGAATCATTCCCAGGCAGTGGTTTGTGGAGGATTGAAAGCAAACCACCAATTTAAGTAATGAGAGCTGCATTCAATAGGAAGGAAAACAAATAACTTCAAACCTTGACAGGATTCTGCTCAAAAGAGCTTTTTTCTTAAAATATAAATAAAAAATCATTGTGCATAATGATGAGACTGAACTGTATTTTCGAGCAGGTGGTCTGGAGCTGGCCCTTGTCCCGTTTACAGAAATTGACCCAGTTCATGGTACACTGAGGATAAGGAAGGTGCAGCAGGTGGATGCTGGAGAATATACTTGTGTGGCTAGTAATGAGGCTGGCACCTCTTCTGCCACAATAATGTTAGATGTTGGCTGTAAGTTACAATCCACTCATTTTAACAAGTCTTCACAAACCGGTTCTCTGTTGGTATTGTGTAACTAATAATTGAAGATGTTGTAGATTTTAGTAAGCTGTCTTTGACGTATCCCTGCCTCCTTTTTCTTAGCTGCCCCTCTGTTCTTGGAGATGCCCTCTGATGTCTCCGTGACTATTGGCAAGAATGTGACGTTGCCTTGCAGTGCAGTTGGGAAACCAATTCCACAGGTCACCTGGCGACGTCTTGACGGACAACCCATCTTCACCAATGTTGATTCAATGAGCTTTGTCAGCCAACTAGAGACAGGCAGCTTGTTCATAGAGAGTAAGTATAGGGATTTTGTAACAGCTTTGTCGAATAAAAAATGCTGATTAACAACTCATTTGACTTTAGTGATGTTATTTTAGCCATGTGTGCTCACGCAACATTTAATGTCTGTGTAGTGCCATGGAAAACATCTACCACCATTCAGTGAAGAAGAAAGGAAAACAATCCTGACAATTGAAAAACACTTGCATTTCCTCAAAACATGTAACGTTTTTCTTTCAGTAATCTGCTGTCAGTAAGCCTAGTCCATTATAAAGAATCTGTGTCAATATTCATCCTATCAAGTTCCATGTTCACCACAACTGCCTTGTGTGTGTTATCAGCCAGGTGCAAACCATCTGTCAGTTCCTTACACATGGACCTAGTGTCTGAGCTCAACAGTTAAAAATGTCATTTGGTATCTTCTTTCTGTTTATTTGCTTTGTTTGTGTGCCCAATACAATAGATTCTTGTATTTATCCATTTGTTGAACAGAATCTCTGATCTCCAAGGACCCATTGCAGCAGAAAAAACATGGTAGGTCAGGACCTTACTAGTTGGGGACTACCTAACTTGAGGTGGCTGGTGGCTAACCAGTAACACACAGTGGTCCCTTACACATTAGAGATAGCCTGTAGCATCCATTTTGTATGCTGATCAAGTTCTATCTTCAGTGTAATGTTAACGCACTGCTGTGAAACTGGAGGGTTCTCTCCAGGCTGCTAGCCTAAGTTAAAATTTCAGGAGATCCTGCCCAAATTTTAGGATCTCCATCTCGATCTCCCCATTTGAGTCCAAAAGAATGCAAAACACTACATTTGGCAACAGCTTGGTAGCAGGAGTTGCAGGGAAGATGTGATATTTAGAAATCACTCCAACTTTGGGCTCTACTCCAAATTTCTTTTGCCCTGTCATTCTTTGAGATCATGGCTGATCTGCCCTGTGCTTCAATTCCTGTTTCATACCAGCTCCTCATGGCCCTCAGCTACTTGATATTTCAAAAATCTGTCTGCCTTGTCTTTAAATAGTTTCAGTGATCTAATCTCCAGAATTCTCTGGAGTACAGAAATCCAGGAATTTGCTACTCTCTGGGAGATTAATTTCCTTTGCATCTCAGTTAGAAATAAATGTCCCCTTATTCTGTAACCATGTTCTTTAGTTCAAGATTCCCCCATATAGTGGAAACATCTTCTCAACATCTATTCTGTCAAGCTCCCTCATTAAATTTTCATTACAGTCACCCCTCAGTCTTCTAAACTCTGATGAATAAACTCCTACTCTGTATAGCCATTTTTGATAAGTCAACCCCTCAATGTCAGAAACCGGCCGCGTCCAATGCCAATATATCCTTTCTTAAAAAGGGATCAACACTATATCCAAAAAACTGGGTCAGAAGATGCCTACACGAACAACATCAGAAAGATACTACATGCTGCGACACACTCATCACACTACCCTACATCAGGAACACATCAGAACTCACCACAAGACTCCTACGACCGCTGGGCATCAGAGTGGCACACAAGCCCACGTCAACCCTACAACAACTGCTCACCCGAACTAAAGACCCACTCCCCACCATAGACAGGACCAATGTCATCTACAAGATCCCCTGCAGTGACTGTGAGAAACACTACATCGGACAAACAGGAAGGAAACTAACAACAAGAGTACATGAACACCAACTGGCTACAAAAAGACATGACCAGTACTCACTCATCTCAATCCACATGGACAAGGAGAACCACCATTTCGACTGGGACAACACCAAGATCCTGGGACAAGCTGGGCAGAGACAGGTACGAGAATTCCTAAAAGCCTGGCACTTCACGAAGCATGCTATTAATAAACATATTGAACTCGACCCCATATACATTCCACTATGAAGGAAAACCGGAAGTGAGGCAATCCACCTCAATGGACCCCAGAGTTTAAAAACCAGGCGGGAGAAGACACCGACACTTCATCGGAGGCTGCACTGAGGACGTTATCCAGCATGGTAACGAAACATCTGTGAAACAAGAAACCAGCTCGGTGAGCCAACCAACCTCAACACAGACCACCCGGGCTACAAATCTATTCCAAAACCTTAAACACTATACACGGTACTCCAGATGCGGCCTCGCCAACATCCTGTACAGTTTTAACAAGACTTCTCTATTTTAAAACTCCAACCCCCGGCAATAAAGACCAACATTCTTATTTACATGCTGCACCTACAGGCTAATATTTAGTGTTTCATGCACAAGAATATCCAAATTCCTCTTTGCTACACTTTTTTGGAGTCTTTCTTTTCTTTTAAATAACATCTGTCTTTGATTCTTCCTTCCAAAGTGCATGATCTCACATTTTCCAACATTAAACTGCCAGGTTTTTACCCACTCATTCAATCTATCTATATACCCTTGCAGATTCCCTATGTCCTCGTCACAACATGCCCTCCCATCTATTTTTGTATCTTCAGCAAATTTAGTTGCATTACACTCTGCCCTTTCCTCTAAGCCATTAATATAAACAGTAAAGAATTGAGTCCCTAGGACTGAGCCTTATGATATTCCACTAGTTAAGTCTTTCCACCTTGATAATGCCCCATTGATATCAACTGTCTGTCTTCTGTATTTTAAGAATACTCAATCCACGCTAATACATTACCCCCAGTACTGTGGGCTCTTTTAGTCATTCATGGGATGAGGGCATTGCTGGCTAGGCAGCATTTATTGCTACCCCTAATTGTCCAGAGGGCAGTTCAGAGTCAATCACATTGCTGAGGGTTTGGAGTCATATGTGGGCCAGTCCAGATAAGGATGGCAGATTCCTTCCCTAAAGGACATTAGCGAACCAGACTACAATTGAAAATGGATTCACAGTCATCATTAGACTCTGAATTCCAGATATCTATTGAATTCAAGTTCGGGTCCCCAGAATGTTATCTGGGTCTCTGGATTAACAGTCCAGTGATAATACCCACTCATTCAATGTATCTATATACCCTTGCAGGCCATAGCCTCCCACTTTAGTGCCTGTGTTTTATTTTACGTGGAATCTTATAAAATGTCTTCTGGAAATCAAACTACACTACATCTACTGGTTCTTCTTATCAGCTCTGCTCGTTATATCATCGAAGAACTACAGCAAATTTATCGAACATGATTTCCCTTTCATCATTTCTCTTCCATTCCATTTCTCCTTTACTTTCAACTCACCAGAGGTATCCACAAGCAGGAGAGCTATTCATCCATAGCTGAAGTTTTGGTTCATGAGCACCAGGGAATGTCCACATATCAGTGGGCCTGCACATTGTAGGTCTGAGGACCAAAACTCCCCAAGTTCCTCTGAAGCTTTAGACTGGGGCCACCAGAGACCCAGTTTCATATGTCATCATGAGGAGGCAGAATTGATGACTTGTCGAAGGATAGCTTAGAACTGAGAAGGAGAATTTTGCACATTTGGCTTTCTTTTTCACATTGCTGCTAGCCAGCAGTGTGATCTGAAAATGAGAGGCAAACCAGATCACAGACTTGGAAAGCATGCTAAATCTCTTCAGCTCCCACGCTAGACATATTGATCTGTTGGGCAGATGCAAGCTGTTGGGGTCTTTGAATATTTCCATGACAATGGTAAAAGAGGGTGTGAAACAGAGAAATGAACTGTAACTGACCAACCTTATTTCATTTGAATGTTTACATTCAACAGAGAGGCATTTATCTCTCTAGTGCAGTCTGCATTCAAACCCAGCATGCATAAATTCATATACAATGTTTTACCTTAAATGGTCTCATCGCCCAGAAAACAACTTGGAACAAAAAGAAAGCAAAACAGAAAGCCATATGATGTGGAATGTTGACTGAATACACAAAGTATCATTAATCCCATAAAATACAGCCAGACAGTTAATTATGATGATGCTGAGAGACCCATTTCTGTTTGAGCCCATTTATTAATGGCCATAGATTAAAGCACTCACTTGGCATGAGTCAGAACTGTCCAGTTCTCTCTGCCTCTTCCTCTAACTAATACTGGACTTACAACTTCTTTTTACCTTGTTACAGGTGTGTGGTTGGACGACGAAGCTATATATGTGTGTGAGGCACAGAATCGGTTTGGAGTGATCCGTTCTGAGGTAGCACTGACCATCAGTGGTCTTGGTGAGTCACAATATTATACCATTAAGTCAGCACCATTGTGTCTTCACTCCACTACTAAAAGTTATCTAATCTGACACTCTTGTTTCCTTCCTGACATTTTTTTAACATATGTCTCTTTCAGGTAAGTATCTTATTCCATTGAGAGGGATTTTGGCATCTGCTTTAACAGTGTTTTGTGACTGAGAATTTCAATTTCTTAACCAGCTTTTGTGTGAAGAGTTTTTCTTCAACATCCCCTTTCATTTCTTTATTGGTTGCTCTAGGTTATACCCTTACATTCCTCTCCCATTGTCCAGCAGAAATAAATAAGCACTATTTGTTCTAATGGTCTTTCAAAGACCTCCAGCAGGGACATTCTTTAACCTATTGAACTCTGTGATAAAACCCTTAATATTTTGAATCTCTTTCTAACTGTAAGGTTTTGTACCCAGTAATGTCCCAGTGATTCTGCACTGGAGTCTTTTCACGGTTGCTGTATCTTCTAATAACAGTGTGATCAAAGCTCTACATAAAGTTCTGACTACAGCCAAGTAGCGGTATTTCGAGTTCTGAGAGATGCAGTAACAGCAATTTATGGGTGGAGCTGCACCCTGTATGGGCTGTGCCATGTCCAGTGTGTGAATAGCTTTGCGCACAGAATTTTATGACTTATTCTTCATCTTTCTTGGTACATTTATTCCACATGCTCAGGAAAAGGAGACCAAATTTTGTACTGAGTAGAAGGAGGATGATTCTTACCGTTGTATGTCTGTTCCAACTCATTCTGTCTTTAGTTTTGGTAAATAGAAAATATGATTACCTGAATGCCACTAGAATTCTGTTGGGACAACAGCAAATTTTAATGGGGAGAATACCATTTTAAGATAATTTTCTATTTCTTTTTATTCCATTCTACAGACTGACCTCAAATCTAACATTTAGATTGGCATTTGACTTGCATGACACATGTTGTATTCCATGTTGTATTCCATGTTGTATTCCTCAGCTTCCAGTTGTCTTTGTAACCAATTTTGTTCTTTGGGCGAATAGCAAGGTTTTTTATCAGAATAGATTAGTTGCTGATTGTTTTATCAAACATTAATTCCCTTTTTGTTCTGGTTGTGTCAATAAGCCATTTTCTTATTATGAAACAATCTCTCCACAGCTTTTATGAGATTAGACTGTATAGAATGAGATGTTTTAATGTGAAGCTGTACAGAGGGAAAACTAGAGGAAACTCTCTAGTTCTGATGCTGGAACTTACTGATCAAAACAAACTGCTTAATCAGTAGTATATGCTGAATTGTTCATGTGTTACTTGATCCTTCTGTTCTCATCTAAAGTCGCCCCCGAAGTAGTTGAAAGTGCCCCAGTCATCAATGTACTGGAGGGTCGGTCTCTAACATTACCGTGTGTTGTTCTGGCTGGCAATCCCTTCCCTGAACGTTACTGGTTAAAGGACAACCAGCTGGTGAGTACATTCTTGGAGAACTTTCCTCTCTTGAGACCTTTTTGTTTGGGCTTTCAGTTGTTTCATAATGCATCACATGCTTTCCAGCACAGGTTACCTGATGGCAATCATAGTAAGAACGTTTACAAGGCTGGCTTAAGTGTGAATACTAATTGAAATTAACTATGATGAGTTATTTGTATTCCCACCCTCCAAAAACTGAAACTGTTCTAGTTCATTTATTTCATCCAAGGAGGCAAAGGAAAGATCTATCACATTTGTTGTTGCTTGGTTCAGATGCAAATTGCAGAGGTGAAGGCATTGCCTGTTGAGAGCTGCAGTTACTATATAGATTTTCTTGTTTTCTAATATTTTCTTATATTCAAGACCAGCATTTATTGCCCATCCCTAATTAACCTTCGAAAGGCGGTGGTGAGCTACCGCTTAGAACCATTGCAGTGTTGGGGTGTCGGGACATTCACAATGCTGTTGAGAACAGAGTTCCAGGATTTTGATGCACTGACGGTGAAGGAATAGTGATACAGTTTAAGTTGAGCTGGTGTGTGAATTGGAGGGGACCGTGCAGATGGTGATGTTCTCATGCACATGCTTATCCTGTTCTTCTAAGTGGTAGAGGACACAGGTTTGGAAGGGGCTGTTGAAGGAGCCTCAATAGATTAAAGAAATTTTAGTTTTGGAACTGCCTCAATGAATGAAAGTGTTGACGAAAGCAGTTCATATGAGGAAGGCTAATGCTTTTGTGCCTATATTATTATCTCAACTGGCACAATTGACCCCTTAATTATCCTTAATTGTGCAGTCTGGAGAAGGAAAATGACTTAATATTCTCCTTCCTGATTAATATGGGGTGAGTCCCATTGTGGAGGTCAAATAATGAAATTTGGTTCTGAGACCTCTGTAGTCCAACAATATAATGATGAGGCTTCCACATTGAATCAGGTTCAAAAGTGACTGACAAGAGTCAGCATATTACAAGAGGAACTAAAAATGGGAGAAGGGCATACTGGAAAATAAAAAAAAAATGTCTTGCACCACTGACGACAAAATTGAAATGATTCTTCATCGCTTGGTCAATTATTATTTTGAGATTTTATGCATTATTCCCTTCTTGCCTCCCTGCAGTTAAGTTTGGACAGTCGTCTGTCAATCCGAAGTGATGGCAGTTTCTTTATTGAAAGAGCAGAGCAAGGAGATGCTGGAAAATACATCTGCACCATCAGAAATGTAGTGGGATCTGTTAATAAGACCATCACAGTATATGTTCATGGTGAGTAGTTTGAAGAATTTGTTTTTATTCACTCATGGATGCAAGGATCACTGGGAAGACCAGCAATAATTGCCTATCCTGAATTGTTGTTGGGAAGTTGGTGTTGAGCTGTCTCCATGTACTGCTGCAGTACTTGTGGTGTTAGGTATACCAACAATGCTGTTAGGAGGGAAGTGGTGATTATTTTTGCAAAAGTTTTCAGTTTCCTTGTGATATCTGTGCAAACCTCTTGTCAGTGTTGCTGAAGTTTGAGGTCCTTTAGGATGACTGATATGTTGTCATCTTACTTATGTTACACTTCCTGTGTGCAAACAGGAATGCATTCATAATGGTTTTCCTGGCTAGTAACTGGTACTTTGAGTTGGCCTTTCCCTTTCACATTCTCTCCACATAAGGAAGCAATTCTTCCTTAACCTCTTTTTTTCTGGTCAAGGTGAAGCCTCAAAAGATGGAGTAATGAGCATGAGTTTGGTGTATTTGGTCATGACTTGTCTTAGGAAACTGCATGTTTCTTGAGTTGGTGAAAGTGAACCGATCTTAAGCATAAAGAAGTTCATTGTAGTCAGAATAGATTATATTGCAGGATCTTGATCATGAAGTTCTCTACTTACAAACACAGGAATAGGAATATTGAGCCTGTCCTGTCGTTGAGCAAGTATGATCATGGCTGATCAAACACTTCAATTCCTTTTACTCACCCTATCTCCGTAACCCTGTACACTAATTGTAATCAGAAATCTATCAATTTTTACTTCAAACGTACTCAAAGACTGGCCTTCCACAGTCCACTCTGGTATTTATCAAGGAGCAGACCATAGGGAACAACTCTCTTGAGGAATGAATGAGATTTCTCATTTGATCGCTCCCACTAGAGTATAGTATCCAACGTCTTGATGGAACTGGAGGGATAATAACTTGCAGGACCACTGTTCCTCCTTTCTGGGGAGTGGTGTTGCTTCTTCGCAAAGTCATACTCTGGTATTTTCTGCAACTATCACCATTGTAACTGGGGATGACTGAAGAAAGCAGGAACAAAACTTGTGGCCTGCAAAGAATTGATAAAGAGAAGTGAAGAGATTGTGTTGACACTATACAGTTGCCTCTATATCCAGTTTCCTTTGCATCAATAATGACCAACCTCATCAAGAGTACCATGAATTCTGGAATTACCTCACCCACAAAGGAAAGAGGTAAATTCAGAAGATGGTTGATCAGGGCTGTTGCTGTTGGGCATTGCACAAGACACATATCTTTGGAAATAGTTAACTGAAGAGGACATGTCTGATTACCCTCACCCCCCCAAAAAAAGTGGAATGTTTCTTCTGATTGCAAATTATTAATGAAATCAATTTGCCTCTGTATATGATGACATTTTTTAAGATTTTCTTTTTGTACAGTTCTACCTGCAATTAAACCCGGGCGAACTGTTTACATCACCGATGAGGGGGTGGCTGTTACTCTGCTTTGTGAATCCACTGGAACTCCTAAACCAACAGTCATTTGGTCCAAGGTACGACCTAATCACAGGGTCCTAACACAGGTTACTACAAAAATGAGAAAGCGTCTGAAGCTTTGAGCTGTTTTGTAGATGTAGCTATCAGGGAGGCAATGGCCTAGTGGTATTATCGCTGGACTGTTAATCCAGAGACCCAGATAACGCTCTGGGGACCTGGGTTTGAATCCCGCCATGGCAGATGGTGGAATTTGAATTCAATAAATATCTGAAATTAAGAATCTAATGATGACCGTGAATCCATTGTTGATTATCAGAAAAACCCATCCGATTCATTAATGTCCTTTAGGGGAAGGAAACTGCCATCCTTACCTGGTCTGGCCTACATGTGACTCCAGACCCACAACAAAGTGATTGACTCTGAACTGCCCTCTGGATAATTAGGGATGAGCAATAAATGCTAGCCTTGCCAGCCTTCATCCTGTGAATAAATTTTAAAAAGTAGCCTCTTAAAAAAAAGGATATTAAGAGCATAAACATATGAACAGGAGCGGGAGTAGGCTATTCAGCTTCTCAAGTCTGCTCTGCCATTCTGTAAGATCATGGTGATCTTCCTTAGGCTCAAACTCCTCTTTCATGCCAGCTCCTAATGACCTCAACGCCTTGATATCCTCTTCCTCTTTAAATAGTTTCAGTGGTCTAGTCTCCACAACTCTCTCAAGTAGTGAATTCTAGACAATCACTGTTTTGAGATTCCCCCACCTGTGGAAACAACTTCTCAACATCTATCCTGTCAGAATTGTGTATTGTTCAATAGAATCACTTCTTCTAAACACTAAGGAATAAATGTGCCTAACCTGTTTAGCCATTCTTGATAAGTCAACCCTTCATCCCAGGAATTAGTGAGTCTTTTTTGAACTGCCTCCTGTGCCAATATATCCTTTCTTAAATACATGGACCGAAACGATACTTCCAGGTACTACCTCAAAACAACCTGTGCAATTGTGACAAGACTTCCCAATTTTTAAACTCCAATCCTCTAGCAATAAAGGTCAACATTCCATTTGCCTTCTTAATGACTTGCTGCAATAGAAAACGTGCACTTTGGCTTCACGACGATGTTACGTTAGGGAATTTTCCATTTTTTTAGAGCGATTTGAGAAGTTCTTTTCCTACATTTGAAATTGTTAATACCTAATGTGGTTTCCCTGATGTGAGAATATTAAAACTTGGTGGGAAAGCCAATAGAGTTGATAAAACTAATTGTCAGCTACTTTCCTCTGGGGACTGGAGAGCAGATTAAAGGAAAGTCCCTCCTCTACTTGTTCTATAACTCACCCTGTAGGGCTATTGTGTTGTCTTTATACTAAGAGCCAGTTTTAAATGATCTTATTCTAGTGAAGTGCAGTCTCCTGGTGACTTTTGATGATGTAACCATTGACCAGTTGATGGTATTGTGGATCCTATATGTCAATTATTGAGTTAAGGATGCCTGTTACAGATCACAGAATTGTTACAGAAGGAGGCCATTCAGCCCATGAAGCCTGCACCAGAAAGTTAAATAAGCATCATTATTGCTAATCTTACGCTATGTCCCTATATTCCTGCAGATTAGTTTTAACCAAATAATCATTCAATGTCCTCTTGAATGCCTCAGTTAAATCACACTAACTACTTGCTGAGTGAAAAAGATTTCCCCACTTCACCCTTACTGCTTTTGAAGATCATTTTCAATGAATGCCCACTTGTTCCTGTTTCTTGTATGATTGGGAACAATTTCTCCCTAACTACTCTATCTGGCCCACTCATGATTTTGAAAACCTCTATCAAATCTCCTCTTAGCCTTCTTCTCTCCAAGGAAAACTGCCCCAACTTCTTCAATCTGTCTTCATAACTGAAGCTCCTCATCCCTGGAACTATTCTTGCAAACTGCTTCTGCACTCTCCAATGCATTCATGTCCTTTCTATAATGTGACACCCCCAAGCTTAATCTGTAGAAACTGTCTAAGATTTGACAATCAGATGTTACATTCTGTCACCTTTCCCACACAAAACACCACCTGAAAACAAATGAAAAGCAGGAGAATAAAGCGTAATGGGTAGCATCCAGCATTGAGAATGAGAAAGTGAGTGACATAAATGTTCTAACGCATTGACACAGGTTTCAGAACAAGTCACCTTCTGGCTCTTTTATCAAAAGGTGATGCACATGGTAAGATCAAGAGGTGGGAAAGGGACTGCCACTAGGGTTACCATTTGAAACATTTTTCTTCTGAAACTATTATACCTTTCTTGTTTTCTGATGTCCTCTCCAGGGTAGGGAGCTCAGACCTCAACATGAACTGCAATATTCAATCGATGCAAGTGGAAAGCTCCTGATCCCGTACCCATCAGCAGAAGATTCTGGAATCTACATCTGCACTGCGACAAATGTAGCAGGGGTTTCCAGCAGAGAAATGCAGCTGTTTGTCCACAGTAAGGATATTAGTGATATTACAGTTAGATCCAAGTACACCCAACCTGTCGATCCATATAAAAAGTCTCATATGACACTTAGCATGCAAGGTGTTAAAGTGTACATTAGCCAACACAAGAAATTGGAGTAGGAATAGACCATGCAGCCCTTTGAGCCTGCTTTCCTATTTAATATAATCACGTGCTTCAACTCCGCCTTCCCACCAGCTCCCTATAGCCCTTGATTCCCTGACAGACCAAAAATCTTTCTATCTCAACTTTAAATGTATTTAGAGGACTATTAATCTCTATAAGGGACTTGTTGGGTGGGAGGTGGCAAGAGGTGAGTAGTAAATGCATCTCACTAGAATAGCGCACTGCAAGTGAAGCCCTCCTAGTCCCGGAGTCATCACAAAAGTTTCAGATTTTTTAAAAATACCCTAGATTCCCTAATTTACCTGTCATCTAAACCCAGGTAGACAGGAAGCGCAGACTGTGTACCTTAATGTGCTGAACAAAAATTACTATTTATTACAGAAATTAGACTCTATCAAAAGGTAAACAGTTATGAAGCATCAATTTATAACTACTAATTAAAATTAAATCCCCTTATAAATTGCCCATTACACATACATAGACAGGGGAAAAAAGAATATGGATGTTATGGATGGAGAGAACACTGGTAAAGCAGTTCAATGATTGCTTTTCACGGGATCCGTTGAGGTGATTCTTAAGATTTCAATGCTGGTCAGAATGCTACTTCTCAGTAGTCATTCTCCAGATGTTTCCATTGGTTCCAAAGAGGATTGCTGGATTATTTCTAAAAGGTCTCTGATTTACTAATTTAAAAAGTCACAACTTACAGTAACTGCTGAGGATAATTGCTGGCAGGCAGAAGACCTTTGTCATTGGTAACTGATCACTAATCCGCAATGAATTCATTACTTGTTGCCAACCAGAGCTTTATTTGAACAAAATCCTATGGATCCAGTCATCTGCAAACTAAACTTGCAAAAATACTTGAACAACCAGTTGTGTAAACGATGCTTGTGAGTGTCAGGTAACTTGCTTTCAAAACATTCACTAGTCCTCCAGCTGTCTTTGGCTTCTAATGCGATTCTTTTCTCATTTCAGTCCTCAGTTAAAAATACTAAAAAAATTAAAAAGATCCCTAATGCCAATCTGCTTCAGCCAGAAGTTGTTTGGTTGATGGACGACAAACCTGTCCTCAAGAAGTGGCTCAGTTACTTAGTGATATTAATCTGTCTGAGTGTTTCAAATTTTATATTGTGGACTTAATAGCTAATGGTTGTGGAACACTTTTTCCAGGATTTGGGAAACCTAGTAGCTAAAGGCAGTGACAGAGTGTCAATCCAAAGGTTAATTCCAGCATGATTTGAGGGCCAAGGGAAACAGGAATACTTCCCTCTGGGTTACACCCCTCCAAGCAAATTCACAGATCAAAACGAATAGGATGAAAGATACTGAAAGCATCAGAAGGATTTAATATTACTGGAATGCTGTTATTAAATATACTGTGTTTTGACATTTTTTATGTCCGCAGCAAGACCTAAGATTGATGGAGTGAACCCAGATAATTCGGACAAGCCAATTGAAATCACAGCCACGGCTGGGACAGAGGTGACATTACCCTGTGAAGTTCAGGGCTCCCCTCCTCCCATTATCAGGTGGAAGAAAGACTCGCGTCTGGTACCACTCATATCAGCCAGGTAAATGTATCTCCACAATTTCTGAAGAATTCCAGCTCACTTGGTGACAATGTCTCCAGTAAAAAACTTCCTCCATCTCACAAACCATTCACTAAGCATTGTTCTCAATTTCCTGTAATCCAGCCAATTAGTATCTACATTGGTATTGTTCTTTTTGTTCCATGAGCTATAATTTTGCTCATCAGTGTATTGTGTGGCACTCTTTTAAATGCCTTTTGGAATTCCATATACCGCAATCGCCAGCTTTGTCATCATCTCTTAATTCTTCAAAAACTACAGCAAGTCCGTTAAAAACCCTTTGTCCTTATGAAATCCATGCTGACCTCTCTCAGTTTATCTGTGTTTGTTCACATGGCTATTAATTTAATCGGGAAGGATTGTTTCTTGAAGTTTTCCCATCACTGAAGTTAATCTGATAGGCCTGTAGTTGCTGGGCTTATCTTTATCCTCTTTTGAACAAGGGTAAATTCTGCAGTCCTTTGGCACTGTCCTGAGTTACTGTGGCCAGTGCCTCTGCAATTTCCACTCTCATTTCCTTCTATGCCATTGGATGCATCATAATCCAGTACTGGTATCTTACTGACTTGAAGTACAGACAGCCTACCCAATACCACCTCCTTATCAACAGTAAATCTATCTAGGGCCTGAATTGCCTCCTCTTTAACCATGGCCTTGGTTGCATGATCTTCCTTGGTGAAGATTGATGCAAAGTATTAATTTAATATCTCAACTATTTGCCCTGCCTCAATATGCAAATCCCTTTATTAATCCTTAACTAGCTTTACTCCTCCTTTTACCATCCTTGTATACCAATAGAAGATTTTGGGGTTGTTCGACCCAAGCTGTGAAAGGAATCAAGTGTTGTTGCAGGAAAAGTAAGATTTGTGGCACAAAAAAAGGAGATTTGAGTTTCTCAGTGACAGATTCACAGTAGAAGTGGGCAATGTCCAGCTGAAGTCAGGGGAGGATTGCCAATGCTCCAGGATAGTCCTGAAGTTTCTATGAAGCCATGATCAATCACCTGGACACTACTGCAAGCTACCTAGTATTCACCAAAAACACAGTTTAAAAAAAAATTGGAACTCTTTTCTATAGTTGCTATAAAATATTGGAAGTAGAGGGATGAATTTGACTATATGGAACTGTTGAAGATCAGGATGATACCTTATAATGATTCCAGGAATATTCCCAGTTTGAGTTGACAGCCTGAGTCAGGGGTGACTTCGAGACCAAGAATATCAACAGTTGAATGACTGGTGAACAAGCAATCTGAGAATAACTGAAACTGAAATACACTGATGCCTGAAATGAAAATCTATATTGTACCCTAGTCCAAAGGTTACCTGAATTCAGTGTCAAATGTGACCTACTAACTTACAGTGAAAAGTACACAGTAACTACATTATTAGGCAAATAGATCTCATGCAGTCTGTTGTAAAGTAGTAATACATGTAACAGAAATATTTCCAATTGATATCATACAATGGAAGTTATATGCAGAGGTTCTGCAATGATTAACACAAATTTCAGGAGCACTGTATTTTTGTTATTTCATTTACTTTTCAAGCACTCATTCTACATTCAAATACCAAGGCTGTCAGTTGTGTAATTCATTCCCTAAACCTCTTTGCTTTTGTACTTTTCCCCTCCTTTAAGACTTGCCTTGAAGGCCAGCTCTTGACAAAGCTTTTGATCACCTATCTTAATATCTCCTGGTATGGCTTTATGCGTGTTGATCATACTCTTGCAGGGTGTTTTACTAGATTAAAGGCATTATTTAAAGGAAAGTTGCTGTTGTTTAGATATTGCTTTTTTTATGCATGTTGACTTAAAGCAATAAGTAGGTACAAGGCACTACCAAGAAAGGCTTGAAGCTGGGTCCGTTCTTAGGCACTACTTCATGACATGTGTTGTCTAGGGTGACATGAGCACATTGTCTTTGAGGTATCTAAAGGGAGGAAAGAACAGGACTAAATTCAGAAGGGAGGGAAAATAATGAAGACAAAATAACTTTCGGTTGATTTAAAATGTTTTGTTATAGTTTACTTTGTAGTTAAGAAAAGCTGTGTTTAACTGTAATTAGAAAACATGATCTGTGGTTTTGTTAAAAGCAGGGAGAAGTTTCCTGTGTTGGCAGAGTTGATGTGATTATGATCTATATTGTATGTAGTAGGTTGTCAAACTTTCACAGATCCTAAAAAATGCTGCCTGATGTATAATAATGGAAAAATATTTTGGCCTAACTAAAGAGGAACAGATGTCCAGGCAGAGAATATACAATTTCAAGTAGATATACAACTTAAGTCTCCTGTGTTACTTTATGTGACTTTAGGGGACATTTAACATGATGCATCTGTGAGTTGGATTTTATTATGATGATTAACAGCTATTCTTTAATTATTATTTTATTGAATTTTGTGCTTGGCAAAGTCCAGGATTTTTGTTCTGGGAAATAAAACATTGTCCTGTTCTAATTACATTGTATCATCGATTGAGATTGCCAGTTTAATGACAAATTAGGTGACTGATTGTCATGTGTTTCATGCCTTATTTTGTTTGTTTCCTCTATTGCTTTTTCTGATGCATTACCACATACATGTATAACCCTCACCTGTCTGAACTGCAATGTTTAAATGTGCATTGTTCTAAGCACTGTATGTTTAGATTTAGTTAAGGAGAATATCCTTTCAGGATGCTCTGACCTCTGCTAAGGTGACACTAACTTCAGCTTGGGTTTAGAGAAATCTAGATTGATATGGCCTGACTTATTTTGCCAATGTCCTCTCTATCACAGAACTTCAAGACTTTACTTCCCACTGATACCTAGTCCCTCCTTACAAGTTAGACAACTGCAACCAGATTGTTATGAATAAATTTGCCCAGGTGTCCCACAAAACCGAAGCAGTCAAATCACTACAAACACAAGCTGGTACCAGTGAAAACAATCTCAACTTTATTAAGTAAGTTATAATAGCCTTTAATACTAAACAATACTAACTCCAAACCTATTTGGCCCCTTAAGCTTACAATACTTCCCAAACCTCTTGTAGATTTACACAGTTTCTCTCTCCTTCTCTCTCTGTTTATGGAACTGCTAAGCTTCTCTCTGTCTCTGTCTGTCTTTCTTTCTCTCTCCCCCTCACCGGACAGTCAGCTGATTTCTGTCTTTTGCCATGCCTGTCTTCTTGGAAAGTCTCCTCCTGATCTAAGCGTAAGACTATTTTTATCTTTTTCCGCCACCTTCTGGATCTTTCTGTAGCTTTAGCCAATCAAGAGATCTGTTTGATGGCTACTGATGGTTTGGATGGCTTTGTTAATCACGAAATACCCTGTTAATGTTTGCCCCATTGTTTTAGGGTTGAGTACCTGGTTCTTGGTTGCTAACATGCATCCATGCTTTGTTTAGTTGATCAGAAATGTCTATCCAGGATGACTGTTGACAGGATAAGTCCTTTACACTACACTAATGTCTTTAGCACTTAGTTGCTGTTTGTATCTGGTTTCTGGGTTTTGTGACTTCAGAGTTTTCCTTGACTATTGTACCCAGCATCCCTTGCTGTTTGGCCAAATTGGCAATTTATTTGTGTTTTACAGGTTTTTCCTTTGTCAAGATTGCCTTGACTAAGCACTACGGTAATTGTCAGAATGATATCTTTCCAAATCAGGATAATGCGTAAATTGGGGAGATATTTCCAGATGGTGATAACACAGTGCGGAGCTGGAGGAACACAGCAGGCCAGGCAGCATCAGAGGAACAGGAAAGCTGACATTTCGGGTTGGGACCCTTCTTCAGAAATGGGTGAGGGGTAGGGGACTCTGAAATAAATAGAGAGAGGAGGGGTGGGGCTGGGGAAGGTAGGTGGGGTGGTGATAGATGAGTGCAGGTAGGCAATGGTGGGGGTTGGTCAGTGAGGTGGTGGAGCGGATTGGTGGGAGAGAAGACGGACAGGTCAAGGAGGTGGGGATGAGCGGGAGGGTTGGTCATGGGATGAGGTCGGGGGTGGGGAGATTTTGAAGATAGTAAAGTCCACATTGAGACCATTGGGTTGTAGTCTCCCAAGGTGGAATATGAGGTGCTGCTCCTCCAGTTTCCGGGTGGCATCGTTGTGACACTGGAGGAGGCCCAGGATGGACATGTCGTCCAGGGAGTGGGAGGGGGAGTTGAAGTGGTTCGCGACTGGAAGGTGTTGTCGTTTGTCGCGAACCGAGCGCAGGTGCTCCACAAAGCGGTCTTCGAGTCTCCGCTTGGTGTCACCAATGTAGAGGAGGCCACATTGGGAGCAGTGGATGCAATATACCACATTAGTGGATGTGCAGGTGAACATCTGTTTGATGTGGAATTGTTTTTGGGGCCTGGGATGGAGGTGAGGGGGGAGGTATAGGGGCCGGTGTAGCATTTCCTGCGGATACAGAGAAAGGTGCTGGGAGTTGTTGGGGCTAGTGGGGAGTGTGGAGCGAACGAGGGAGTCGCAGAGAGAGCGGTCCCTCCAGAAGGCAAATAGGGGTGGGGAGGGAAATATATCTTTGGTTGTGGGGTCAGATTGCAGGTGGCGGAGAATGATGCGTTGAATCTGAAGGTTAGTGCGGTGATACGTGAGGACAAGAGGATTCTGTCTTTATTTTTGTTACAGGGAGGGGATATGAGGGCTGAGGTATGGGAAACGCAAGAGATGTGGTCAAGAGCGTTTTTGACCACTGAAGGGGGGAGATTGCAGTCCTGGAAATACGAGGACATCTGGGACGTTCGGGAGAGGAATGCCTCATCTTGGGAGCAAAAGCGGTGGAAGTGGAAGAATTGGGAGTAGGGGATTGCATTCTTGCAGGAAGGTGGGTGAGAGGAGGTGTAGTCTAGGTAGCTGTGGGAGTCAGTGGGCTTGAAATGGATATCAGTTTCGAGGTGGTCACCAGAGATGGAGACAGAGAGGTCCAGGAAGGAGAGAGAGGTATCAGAGATGGTCCAGATGTATTTGAGGTTAGGATGAAATGTGTCAGTAAAGTTG